AGCTCAATGTGCTCAAACTCAATAGGCTCAAGAACAACATTGTTGTCATCCCCCAAACAAGTTGGTCCATGAGCCTCGTAGCCATAGAAGTTGACATCACTCGGTTCTTCATCCAATAGTCCATGAGAAAGGGGATTATCACTATGCAGCATTCCGTTCTGAAGATCTGAAAATGGCCCCTTGGCATGTGGGTGAGAGTTTCGAATCTGTTGATGAACATTACGAGTATTGGGAGGCACTGCTAAATAAGATTGTGGATGATCATCTACCTACCAGGGACATAAAAGTAAGGGCACATAATGTACCTTACATGACGAGAGAGTGGAAAAATGCTATCAAAGCTAAAAGACGCTTCTCAAAGAAATTCAGGAAAAACCCCACACAAGACAATTTTGAATTGAAGAGGAAGTGGCGCAATGAAGCCACCAAAGAAAGAAGAAAAGCAATTAGGCAGTATTGGAAAAAAGTATCAGATAATGTCAAGTCTGATCCGAGGAAGTTCTACAGAACGTTTAGACCATTCACTGACTCCAAGAACAAACAGGGAAACAGCAGTGATATATGCTTGAAAGTTAAGGATGTGTTGGAGGGGGATCAAACCAAAGTAGCTAACCACTTTGCTAATTTTTTCTCCACTATGGCTGAGGGGACCACGTAAATGACTGTGTAGAGAGTGATTTCATGAATCACAACTCTCTTCTTAATATTTCGACTTATCTTATCAAGAGAGATTTACATGAAAACCACTTTGAATTTAACGAAATTACATGCGAAGAATTGCGAAAAGTCATGAGCGACCTAAACCCCAATAAGTCAAGGGGATATGACAGAATCGACCCTAAGATCCTTAAAGTAGGCGCCACTGAGTTAGCTTCGTCTCCTGCTGTGATTTTTAGCCAAGCAATTAGAAATGGAGAATGGATAGCAAAGCTCAAGCGTGGAGAATGGATACCGGTACATAAGAAGGATGATAAACAAAGGGATACAAACTATAGACCTATCACGGTGCTGTCATGCGTAAATAAAGTCTATGAAATATTGCAGGGCCAACAAGTCAGTAAGGTTATGGATGACAGACTCAGTGATGCTATCACTGCCTATTGTACAAAGAATAGCTGTGAGACCACGCTGATAAGGCTGACCGAAACATGGAGAGCAGAACTAGACAGCAAGATAATTGTCGGTATATTGTCATCGGGTATGAGCAAGACTTTTGACTCTCTTAGCCCTCAGTTACTCCTAAATAAACTACAAGCCTACAATTTCTCTGACAAAGCCATACGGCTCATACGATCATATTATCGAGAAGAGAGAATAGAGTAAGGATAGGTTCTGTAATAAGCGACTGGATTGTGATGAAGAGAGGATGTCCACAGGGAAGCACATTTGGACCACTTATGTGGAATATTTTCCAGAACGATTTGCCTAACATAATATCAGATGCCAATGTCTCGATGTATGCGGATGACCATCAGGTCTTTGTAGCACATGAAACAATGAAAAGAGTGGAGAAGATACTGGTGGACAATGGAGAGAAGATGACTAAATGGTATCAAGATAATCTTTTAAAGGTCAATTGCAATAAATACCAAGCTATGGTTTTGGGAAATCCAAAAGGTGAGAGGAACACTGATCTGGATATATGTGGCAAAAAAGTTGAACAGTCACAATCCATCAAGATCCTAGGTGTAACCCTAGACGAAAACCTAAACTTTAAAGATCATTTACGTAGTGTGTGTAAGAAAGTTGCCGGTATGATCGGAGTTTTAAGAAGGCTTAAAAATCTTATCCCAGTAAATGCCAAGTTACTTTTGCACAAATCAGCTATCATGCCACACCTTACTTATTGCCACCTAGTGTGGCATTTTTGCACGGCATCTGATAATCGTAAATTGGAGCGTCTACAAGAAAGAGCCTTAAGATTAGTGTATAATACTACTGCCGAAAGTTATGACACCTTACTAAAAAGAGCTAAATTAACTACTTTGCAAAATAGGAGGTTGCAGGATATACTAATTTTGATGTTTAAAGTTAAAAACAAATTAACAACGAACAAAATCGCAAACATTTTTAATATCAACGATGAGAATACTAATAATAAGGGATACAACCTAAGAAATGCAGATTTTGTCTTACCTCGGTTTAAAAGTGTTACTTATGGAAGACATTCTCTTAGATTTCTTAGACCACAATTGTGGTCAAAATTAAGCAAGGAAGAGAGGAATATTGGAACTTTGGCAACTTTTAGGACAACTATACGTAAGAAGGATGTAACATCATTTCTCAAAGGATGTGGGAGTGAATGTCGCTTATGCTTAAGTTAACTTGACGTACGCATATTTATACATAGTCATTTTTAGTGTCCAAGCTCATATATTACATTGTGAATTCAGCACCCTGCTACAAAGTGTTATAGAGTAAAATTGTAACTTAGTTTTAAAGTGTAGAAAAGTACTTAGTCTGAATAATGTTATTTTCCTGCTTTTAAGATTCATAGTTTTTAATTAGATTTATTAGTCTTAAAGGTGTCCCCAATTAGTGCCAATAGGCACTAGAACGATTAGACACTTAAATAAAGGTCATGTATGTATGTATGTATGTATGTATGTATGTTCAGCCACATTTGATAAGGAGACCAACTCTTTTCTGTGCGCACCTTATGATGATTGAATCCTTCTAAAAACTCCCTCAGTGCTTTGTTTATTCTTGGGAGAAAGATAAGTTGTAAAGTAAATAGTCGTAGAGGATCATCTCTATTCAAAAGACCTGTAGATTCCATAGCATAAAAAATGTAGTAGTACTGATGACAGATACACCTATAAACATCCCTCCACAATCTTTCGATTCTCTGGTTATGGGTTGATGGTCCAGCAATAAAACTTACCCTACCTTCACCCCTAGCCTCAATCATTGTGTCACAGACAAGTACATTTTCTACTCCCTTGTCAACTTGGATTTGGGAGGGCCAACGATTTCCATCTTTGTTGACTGCATCAAGAAAGAGGTCGAGGACAGTTTGGGGAAGATTATTAGAGCTGCACTTGAGAAACTTAATTCTTCGAGAAAATCCATCTATACATCCGTGTATGACTAATTTCCAGCGTATTAATGAATGATGGCCATCCAGATGCCAAAAAGAATTTGGCCATGGCACCTGGTATGTTCTTCGTGAGACTTGAGCACCCCATCTGATAGCAGTATTTTTGGGGTCAACCCAAGTCATACTCTCTATTATTCGCCTGCACTGTACCCTTAGTCCAAGTGACTTTATATACCTTGCAATGTACCCTTGACCTGATGTTGCACCATGATTAGATATATGGTTTCTAGCTAATTCATCAAGTTCTTGGTCAGTTGTATTGCTAAACTCTCTCATCTGTTGTAGTCCAAATTTTTCCTCTCTTCTTAGTACAGTCCACCTCGACACACCCAATATTTTAACAATTTTGTCCCAGGTGAAACCGAATCCACAAAGTTCCTCAAGTGCTTCAGAAGATATATTGTATGATGGCCTCTCGGGTGAAGAAATATTTGCTTGTCTGTTTGAGCCCAAGTTGGCGACAGTTGTTGTGGTAATGGAAGCTGGAGACAATAAATGGTTCCAGCCCTGTCAAACATCATCAAAAGCGAAAGTAATTTTTTTCAACTGTGTTTTCTTGTTATCATCAAACTGGAAACAATATTCCAGCTTTCTTAACAAGGAGATGGTTTTGTCAAGTGTTACGGCATGCTCTTCCAATGGTTCCACCTCAAAAGGAATCTTACATAACTGAGTCATCTTGTCTAGGATGTGGTTAAAAAACTAGGTATTTCTGTTAGCTCAAATTGCTGTGCATCTGCTGCCATCTTGCTTTATATGATAACTTAGATTTCAGGCTCCAGCTCGTCCATCTTTTGTGCCAGGTTACCCAGTCCGCCAGTTGAATGGCTGAATGCAGGATTCAATGGTTGAATGCGGGATTGAATGATTGAATTGGGATTAGATATTGAATTGGGGTTGAATAGTTGAATTGGGATCAAATAGTTGAATTGGGGTTGAATAGTTGAATTAGGGGTTGAATAGTTGAACAGATTCTTGAATGGTTGAATGGGAGTGTTGACTGGTTGAATTGGGGTTGAATTGGGGTTGAATTGAACGGTTGAATTGCAGTTGAATGGTTTAATGAAAGAATTATTGAATATTGTTACAAACGGCCTGCCATAGTCTTCACACTTCTTAATTTGCCTACTCCTCTTTCTGGCCAAGAATTTGAAACTGACATTGTTGAGCACACTTCAGCAATTCTGAAGAGCATTGGGTAGAACTGGGAGTATGTGTCCTTCATAGTAATCAGGCGTTGCAGCACCCATTCAGTTGGAGTTGTAGTTGTTCTTGCTGTCTTGAACTCATCTTTACTTTTCCACTCTACCAGCTTGAACTTGAGGTTGTTCCATTCAGCCTGAAGCTTCTCCTTTTCACTTTGTGTTGAACAAAGGGTGGCACAGGGAAACAGAGAAGCTTGAAATATCAGGCAATGCATCTTGGAACCTTTTGTCAATCTTCTGCTATAGGGACACCACATATTTCGAGAATAAGTTGGTAACTTCCTTGTACTGGAAAGGAGTTGGATTTACATGACAGGGAGAGCCCACCAATCAGACAGTTTTTAGCAGTACTTTGCAATATATAAAATCTCAACAATTGCTGACATAAATTGGTATTCATTAGATCGGTTAAAACTGCAAACAAAATAGTAAACGAAAACTTATTACAATGCAAATTAAGCTGAATAAACCTACAACTAAGTACACATAGGAAATTAAGAGTCAAACAATACTTGACTGTAAGTTGAAGTGTGATTGGAATTCTATGAGTCATTGGTCAGAAGTTAGGAAGTCATGTGAGATACAACACAGGAACCTAAGCAATTAGTATTTAAATCCTGCGAGTGAACACATTCCCAAAACATACTAATAGTGGGAGGGTCACAATACTAGGTCCAGTTTTGGTAACTGCAGTAGGGTGGGCATGACTTCCTAGCTCCTTTAGTGAAAGAATTTTATCACAAAGTTAACAGCTGTCTGAATGGGTTTGTCGTAAAACTTTAAAATAGTGCTTTCACTAGACCACCCTGCTGCATCCATGATGGTATTTATGGGTGTATTACCTGAGTTGCAGCTGAGGTGGAAGCAGCTCGGATACTATAAGCACCAAAAATCTTTGTGTTGGTATCAGCTTTCTCTAAGATATTCTTCACTGACCAACTTATGGTGTCTCAACTTACAGGTCTAAGAGGTTTACAATAACTCAATCAAAAGGCATCATGTTATGCTCCCACTGATTCTATTTTCTTAACACACTCCTGATGGCAGGTTACAACACATAAGCACTTATCAACTGGGTAAGCTTCGAAGTCTGTCTTTGGTACTTCCCAGGTTTAGAGGTTTTCAAGAGTTTAGTAATTTCAAAACGGAGTCATTAGAGCTCCTCATACTACCAGTACTAAGGGTGTGAACAGTTTTACATCACTGGCCAGAGAGCAGGGTAGTTGTAGGTGGTTTACAAGGAGTTCAGAACAATACATCCCATACGTCTCTGTATCTTGGCAGTGATGGTCTTGTCTCAAAGACACCTTTCATGAATCAGATGACCAGGGGATGATTTCCAAATGAACCACCATCAGGAGGTAAGATAATTATGGACAGAGCATTCCTGGCTGTGTTTATTGCATTGTATGACAAACCACTTGCAAACTGGTCATGAAGAAACTACAGCCCATCCACTAAAGATGCTGAAAGAGGATTGATATTCCTTGAACTGCTGAATGTTCACTATCTCTCATGATAGGTGTGGTACTGTTGCTGCGTGCCTGAACACCAGGAGTGCATGATGACGTTTCCAGCATCACATGAAAGTCCTCTGCCCATGAGGAAATGCTGGACAAGTAGCAGGTGGGGTTGGGCTGGAAGATACAGCTTGTTGTCCCTCCTAAGGAGAAGTAAGGGAAAGTCAATAAGAATATTGATTAGATAAGGCCACTAAGTTTGAATAGACCAGTTAAAAGTCCAGTAGCTTCCTCCTCAGAGATCTTTTGCAGCACACGTGATGTAACACTAAATGGTGGGAAGGCATAAAAAATGCAGTCCCTCCTCGAGACATTTATTGCAGGTGCCTCCAGGTCTGGCTTGCAGGCAATATAAGGTTTTAGTTGACAATAAAGCCTTTGGATAAAAAGATCAATGCCTGGGGTAACACCTAATTTGTCAGTGGCAGCTTTGAAGAGGGATGACTGTAATGGCCATTGGGTATCCTTTCAAGCCAGGGGTGACTCCTTATCTGCCTCAGTATTTTCTTTGCCTAGAATGTGTTCTACTGTGAGCCAAACATTACAAGATATGCACCACTCCCAAATTTGTTTTGCAAGGCAGTTGTTTTCCCAGGAGTGGCATGTGCCCATTTGTTTTATTGTGGTCATGACAGTGGTGCTATCTACTATAAGTTTAACATGCTTGCCAGAAATTGTTTACTCAAATGATTTCAATACAAGAAAGGCAGCAAACATCTCTAGGTAGTTATATCGTGTACAGCTTTTGCTGGAGTCCAATTTCCTTCAGTTGCGACTGTATCAAACCAACAAACTCATACAGTGAAAAATGCATCTGTTGTCATCATTGCTTGGGGGTCCCCATAGTTGATAAGGTTAAATGCTAATGGTAATGTATCAACCCATCATTTGAGGTCCGTTTTGAACTCCAGGGATAAAGACATAGTTTTGTCAAAATTCCCGTTGCATGTTACTAAGGCCTGTGTTTTGTCAATTTCAAGGACCCTGTTGCGCAGAGATCCATACATAGCCCTTTGGAAACTAGACTTCACTAGCCCTGATACCTGGGCAACTGTCCTAATACGGGGGGAGGTAGTAGCTAGCAAATTCTCACGGGCTTCTTTCAATTTTAGAGCTCATTCTTGAGTCAATGACACCTACATCAAAATAGAGTCAAGAACAAAACCCAAGAAAACTATGATTTAAGTTAAGACTGACTTTTCAGAATAAATAGTGAATCCAACTCTGTCGAGTAGAGTGACAGTATTTATAATATTCTGTATTCATAGGTGGAAACTGTCAGCTGTTAACCAAGAATGATCTCTACAGGACAATGTGACCTTGCAGTCTCAAATAGGAGAAAAATGGTTTAAACAGTTTTGTAAATTTCTGTGAACAGAGCGCTAGTCCATTTGGGAAACATAGGAATTGATACAAGGTCCCTTTCCATTCAAATTTGAGAAACTTCTGGTCAGTACTTCTTCTTGGGACTGAATAATAGGCATCTTTCAGATCTATGGATGCCATGTAACATCCAGGTTTCATCATCCTAATAACAGTCCAGATGTCCATTTTAAAATGATGATTAGTGACATGGGTATTAAAAGACTTCGAGTTCAAAGTCATCTGAAAAGAATCATCCTTCTTAGGTCTTGTAAACACTGGGGAGATAAATTCCCCAGCCTCATGATGGCATGGCTGGATAGCCCCTTTTTGATGGAGCTGAGCAATTTCCAAATAAGTGGACTCGGACTGATGTGTTGTACTCACTATGCCACATAAATTTGAAAATGCAACTGAAACAGATAAAATGTTCTGTATCCACACTGTAGCATTTTATCAGTGGCACAATTGCTCAATCTGGCTTTGAACATGCTCAAAGTAAAGCATAACATTAAGCCCGCAATACTTCCCTTTACCGTCAACTGCTGTTGTTTACTCGGGTTTCATTGTATTTCCCTTTGCTTTCATAAAGTTCTTTAAATTTAAGATGTCACAATGTAAAAAGCAAACAACTAATGCCAAAGACAAGACAGATTCCTTCTCTTGGTCTGATGACGAAGTGGATTTGTCGCTTAGTTTGACAATGGACTACAAAACATCAAAGGAAATGGAGAACATCATTTGGGAGTCTTGTCAAAGTAAATACCAGACCCCTGAAGAAGCAAAAGTATTAGGAAAAACCAATATGGAAAGATTAACCAACTCAATTGCTAATGGCTTTGGTTTATTGAGACAAATAATGGAACCTCGACATCCATTTCCCCCACCACAACCTCATTACTATAATCAAAGTCAGCCTAGTGCCTTTATGTCATCTACACCTGTGTCTCATCAAATGGAGAGACAAAACTCCAGACAATCTTCATTCACCAGTGCTTTATTTTCTGATGAATCATGAAAACCATTATAAAGTATGTTAAATCTTAGCTACGTTACACACTTTATTTTTATCATTAAGACTACATATATCAACAAAAAGAGTATACACAACCTGTAGGTAGCAATGGCTAATCGAGGCCGGCTGCGCATTATTGATTTATGTTTACAAGGCAGGTTTACAAATCACTTCATGTTGATTACAAGTTGTTAATGTTGATAAAAAATTTATGCGAAAAAGGAGTTTTATACAAACTGATTGCAATGGAAAAAATTATTGCTTCTTGTTAATTTTCTTAAATTACTATTTGAGTTCTGAACAAGTTGAGTTATAGGTTGAGTTATAAATACCCTTTGCAGCTTGTAGTCATGTGACAATATGACAATTGAATAGCAAATAAGTTTTGTCTAAGATCCTATGGGAAAAGCTCCAGTGGTAGGAAAACAAACTTTGGACATGACTGCATTTTTACAGATTTCCAATGTCCTTTGAGATCTTGTATTAATTTCTTAAAATAAGTAAAGTAAGATTTTTTAATTCATGACTGCATCATGCAAAGGGCCCCTTGTAAAATTTGATGCAAGATTCACAAATTTTGTCCAACAGTTTTCATTAACCTTGAATAGCAAGAGTAAAAATGCTCCATGCAAAAGCAATTTCTTACAGTGGAGAACATTTCAAGTATTAATTAAAATTATTAATACTCTTTGACTGAGTGTGGTTGTATTTACTCTACATGGTTATTTATTTTTTCATTTTATTAGAAATTATGGATCAAAGAATCTGGTGAGCAGGGTTCTAACTCGTTTGCCTTCAACTTCATTACAGTCAGTCCAGAAGCTATTAGTTTGAGGTGGAGGCTGGAACTCTCTATCATAGTCAATTGCTGTAGAGACTTTGTCTTCACTGATGGTTTTATTATTGTGTTCTCAAAAGTTATGTAGTATAAAACATGCATAAATTACATAGGGGAAATCATCTAGATTTATGTCCATAGCTCATAGTGCTCCAAAACGAGCTTTTAGCCAACTAAATGAACACTCAATGACCATTCTTGTCTGTCATAGCTTTAGTCTAAAATATTGCTCTTGAACTGTTTTGCCACCATTGTAGTATTCCTTCATAACATATGGCATTAAGCTGGATTGCCTAGCAGGAACACTTGTACAGGATTTTCTCCCTCTATTATGGCCCTTTCACATTAAGGTATTTTTCCTGTTTTGAGTTGCTTGTTGACTGTTGAATTTGCAAATACACAAGCATCATATACACTACCAGGCCATTTCACAACTACATCAAGAAAAGTGTATTTCTAATAACATACAGCTTGGGCATTCAATGAACATCTGTGCTTTCTTCTCAGGTAATCAGTTGAGTTGACTTTGGGCTGTTTAATGTCAATATGTGTACCATCTATAGAGCGTTTTCACATGACGTCCCATTTTTCGCAGCAAATGTAGAGAAGATTTCTTGTCTTGGAATTACAATCCAGAGTGCCTGCTTCCTGTCAAATCTGTGGATTTAGTGTGGTTTTTGGTGCTTGTTGTAGTTTTCAAAGAAACTAGGAGGCGTTGTCGAAGAATAAACACACACTTTAATCATGCACACGAGCTAATGTAGAAAAAAGGTAAGATCCCTAATTGCATTATGAATACTGCTTATATATATTAGGGGGCCTGAGAACTAATAGGCGACCGCAGACCGGAAGCAATACTAAAACATCCCCCTTTTCTTAAGGTAAACAAAAAAGGCAAAAACAACTGATTACAACAACTGTACGCTTAGAAATGAAAGCAAACACGGAGGTGCCTGTTCACACTGTATACTATAAGTTCAGCCTATCAGGAGCCTTAAATGTTTTATTGGATCCACAAAGTGGCTGCACAGGAGAAGGGTCCGCAGTTGTACTTTGCAATACAGACTTGGGTGGCTCAGCAGGGGAGCAGGCAGCACTTGTAGGGAATGTGGGGGCTTTGCTGATACTATGCTCTCCGGGATCTGCTGCACACGAGGTGGATTTATCAACTGGAAGGTCGTCAGGAACCTCATCACTTTGGAGCTGAAAATGCTTTCCAGTAGCACAAACATTACGATGGTTTCTCCAAAGTGTTCCACTTTTCTCAGTGATCACCAGGTATGAACGTGGGGTATCAGCCACGTGTTTGGCAATGCCTGGCATCCAGGTACCACTAGCTGGATTGAAGACTCAAACGTTATCCTCTGGGATCAGTGAAAAATGTGGCTGCTGGGCTGTTTTATCATATTGCGCCATCTGCATGTCTTGTCTGAGTTGCAGCTTAACATTGATGTCTCCATCTGCAGAGAACAAGGGCTTTGACACAGCTGGCAGATTGGTCTGATAAACTCGGACATTTAGGAGTTCTGCAGGTGAAGGCAGATCATGACTGAGGGGGGTACTACAGAGACAAAGCATAGCCAGATGAAGATCCTGTCCAGATTCCTTGCACTTGTGTGGAATATCCTTCACGGTTTGCACAGTCCTCTCACTGAGACCATTGGACTGGGGATGCAGAGGACTGGATGTGACATGAGCAAACCCATAGCTACAACTGAACTCCTGGAAGGTGGCAGAGGTATACTGTGTGCCATTGTCTGTTACCAGGTTACTTGGAATCCATGTTCCTCGAAGATAGACTTCAGGTGTGCAACGACTGCAGAAGAATGAATGTTAGTGAGCTTTTTTACCACTGGAAACTTACTATAGTAGTCAATGACTAACAAGTAGTTGCCAGTGTTCCAGTAAAATAGATCAGAGTCTAGGGTATGCCATGGCTTCTGCGGCACATCATGAGACAGCAAGGGTTCCTTGACGTTCAACTTCTGGTGATGCTGACATAGGGGCAGCTCTTGACCAGCTCCTCAATTTCACGGTTGATGTTTGCCCAGAAAAGTGATCCCTTTGCCATGAGCTTGCATTTCTCAGAACCTTGATGGGCATAGTGTAGCTGTTTCAGGACATCGGGTTGAAGAGACTCAGGAATGGTGATACGCATGCCTTTCAGGATCAGGCCATTGGCTATGGTAAGCCAATATTTCCAGTAAGCACGAAGAGAAGCAGGGCAGTTAGATCTCTTGTCAGGCCATCCGTGCATAATGATTTCACGCAGGGCCAATAAGGTTGTATCTTTGTCAGTTTCTTCTCTTATCTGGGACACCCTCATTGGGCTTGAATTAAGTTGAAGATAGACCTCGTGCACAGATACATCAAGCCCTTGTGTGGCTTCATCACAACATGAGCTGATTCTTGACAGAGTGTCAGTGACAGGAATGTCCTTCCAGGAACATATTTGATTTGCACGTCGTACTTCTGAATGCGCAGCATCATCCTAGCAATGCAGGGTGGTGTACTTGACAGATGCTTTTTAAAGATAGCTTATGGTCGGATTCCACAACAATGGGCCGGCCATAGGCATAGTAATGGAACTTTTCCAAGCCAAACAGGACAGCTAGCATTTCCCTCTCAATGTTGGAGTAACAACTTTCTGTTGTGGTCAACAACTTGCTGGCAAACTCCACTGGACCATTGGCTTGTAGGAGAACAGCACCTAGACCCCTCCAGGGGGGAATCAACCTGAATGGTTACAGGCTGGGTACCGTCAAAGTACTGCAACGAGGCAGGGGCCGTGATTGCCTTCTTGATGTGGTCAACAGCAGACTGATGCTCAGGACTCCAGACAAACTCACTTGTTTTCTTGGTGAGCACCCAGAGGTTAGCTGCTATGGATGCCAAGTCAGGAATAAAACGACTCAGGAACTGGACCATCCCAAGGAAAGTTTGTAGATTTGTAAGGCTGGTTGACGGGGCCATAGATAGTATGGAACTGATCTTCCGTGGATCAGGCTAGAGACCTTAAGCACCTATGATATGACCAAAGAAGGGAATTCGAGTGTACCTGAATTTACACTCGTCCAGGTTGAAACGAAGACCAGTCTCATGTGCACTCTGAAGAAAAGCACGAAGATTCTCATCATGATCACTAAAATCGCTGTTGTAGTTGTAGACAACGATGTCATCCGCAATTGCAGTGACACATGGTAGGTCACCAAAGGTTTCGTCTACTTTCCTTTGAAATATGACCTGGGCACAAATAAGGCCAAAGGGCAGACGTAAAAATCTATATCTTCCAAACGGCGAATTGAAGGTTGTCAACAGCGAGCTCTCCTGGGTAAGCTTGATATTCCAGTAACCACTGCGTGCATCAAGGTTCGAGAAGCACTTAGCACCATTAAGTTTAGGTAGGATATCCTCTAGTGTAGGTGTAAAATACTGTGGCCTCTTGATAGCATGGTTCAGGTCTTAAGGGTCCAGGCAAGGCCACAGTGCACCAGTACTCTTAGTGACACATACAAGGGAGTTGACCCAGTTAGTAGTTTTGCCAAGATTCCTTGCTCAACCAATGAAACAAGTTCATTCTTCAAGGGCTCCCTGAGGGCCTCTGGAACTCTTCGTGGAGGGTGCACTACTGGGGGAACGGCAGGATCAACTGTAATGCGATATTCGCCCTGAAAGCAACTGACACCTTCAAAGCAATCCTTAAACTGTTTGAGCACCTGCTCTTCAGCAGCTGGATCTGGGTTGCAGATAGGTCGAGGTGTGGTGCTTGGCCTGGAAGCCCCTTCATGGTTCGTGATACTGAAATTCATGGTTACCAGGTTCAAATCTGTACATGTTGGTAGGCCTAGTATGGTTGGGCCACCAGCATCAACAACATGGAATGGGCGTGGTTTACAGGAGCCACCATAATCCAGTTTAAGTACACAAGTGCCACGATGACCAACAGTATGTCCACCAAACGCAGTGATGATGGTGCTGGATGGTGTGAGGCTAGTGGGAATGCCACCAGGGTTACAGGATGCATTTGGGAAGAGTGATTTGTATGTACTCAGAGAGATAACGTTTCCCTCAGCGATAGTATCAACCTTACACATGAGTGGTTTCTTAGAGTGATCCGAGACCACTTCCATCTTTAGGAGGGCTTGAGTGTCATTCTTGGTGACCTGATTAACTGGCAAGGTATGGAAGTATAGCTGATCTGGAACTGATGTTTGGGGCTGTCTTCCCTGTAATCACGGGCCTCAAGGCTGTGGAAATGCTTCTTCCTGTCAGATTTCCCTTTTGGAGGTTTAGGAGGCTTTGGATGGACATGCTTAGTCTTCCCTTTTTTGTCAGACTTTGATGAACGACAGACTTTCCTCCAGTGGTTCTCTTTTCCACAAGCACCACATTATGAGCCATAGGCAGGGCAAACGGATCGCTCAGAAATGTCATGCTCGGTGCCACAACATCCACACAAACGAATAATGGGGCCACAGGGTCTGATGGGAGGACAGCAATTTAGCGCGTCAACGTGAGTTGAGGTACCAGGTGAAATTTCTTTAATTTGATTATTTGTTGCCTCTTTGGTCTGGGCAATATCCAGAGCGGTATCAAGTGTGAGAGTGGCATCTTTGTCCAGGAGTTTGGTTTGTGTACACTTGGAGTTAGATCCAAAAATAAGAGCATCGATGATGTGCTCATCAGGATTCGTAAATTGACATTCTTCAACCGGAATTCGAATTTTCTTGACAAATGAATCCACTGACTCACCAGGTTGTTGCTTCAGGGTCCCGAGATTGTATCTTGACAGCCGAAAGTTGCTCTTTGGAGACAAAAAACTCTCAAAGCGAGTCCAGTATGTGTCAAGTTTCTTCTTCTCCTCGCTAGATAAGGCCCACGTGGAAACTAATTCAATGCCATCATCGCCCGACCATATGAGAAGGTAGCTTATTTGTTCTTCCTCCGACTTTTCTTTCAGCGGGCCAGAGAAGTAAAGTTCGCATCAAGCTTTAAACTTCTTGAATGCTTACGGTCTGGTGAATGCCAATCAAAGTTGGGATCGGTAAACCTGCAAGTTCCGCCATCTTGGTTTCGACGGGCATAAAAATAAAATAAACTATTGGCCTGGTTCACTGAAAATACAGCAGTGGCGAGCAGTTCACAGATTGACAACCACTCCTGACACCATGTTGTAGTTTTCAAGGAAACTAAGAGGCGTTGTCAAAGAATAAACACACTTACATCACGTACACGAGCTGATGTTGAAAAAAGATAAGATCCCTAATTGCATCATGAATACCACCTCAATATATCAGGGGGCCTGAGAACTTATAAGCAACCGCAGACCAGAAGCGATACTACGACAGTGCTCGACACGAGACATTACATTGAGGACCAATTTAAGGCTTATAGAAGGTTGCAGTCTGATGACCAATTGATTTAGGGGTTTTAAGTGGCGTTAAAGGACAACAAAATAGGCAACAAATACAAAGTGTCTAGGATAGTCCAACATTCAAAAAGAATGAACGATTCATATTTCACATTTTCTAATAACCAAACACAATGGCACAATTCTCTTTTCTCACTGTGTGGGATGCATAGCGGGTCAAGGGGAGTGCTTCTCGCATATTGCAAGTGTTTTGTTCTACATCAAGGCATGGAATAGGATAAATGAAAAATTAACCTGTACACAGGTAAAATGCACCTGGCTGTTACCTGCCATGAAAAAAGTTCCTTATGCCCCAATCTCTGACATTGATTTTCGTTTTGCAAAGAAACGTAAGCGAAATTTGGATGAAACTATCAACAATTTGACAACTACCAAAGGAAGTACAGGCATTCATTCTAGTGAGGTGATGGCTTCCGTCCCAGGTGAAACTACTTGTTTCTAAAAGCAAGGCCTGTGAAAAAATTTCCCCAAAAATCACTGATGAAGAGGTGAGGCTCGTAGAGGAAGATACCAGAAGACAGTCAAAGGGCTCTAGCTTCTATTGTCACAAGGCTGGTAGAATTGGGGCATCAATTAGCAAAGCAGCTAGAATGTCTACTATTGAAGCTTATGAGAAGATTATAAAGGAAAAGCACATCACCTTTCAAGTAACGAAATGTGGCACATTTATCAATAAACAGTATCCATGGTTACATGCCACACCTGACTTTTTGTGTAGGTGTGATTGCTGTGGGGATGGATGTGGGGAGATCAAATGCCCTTTTGTTTAAAGGATACAGACTTGGAGCAGTAGCTTGAAGTCAGAAAATGGAGATGCAAGTCTAAAAAGGGAACATGCCTACTATTACCAAACCCACGAGCAAATATTCATTGCTGAATAGCTTTACTGTGATTTTGTTGTTTGTGGTTTTCATGAGCAAATTGATCTCTTTAGTGAAAGAATTTTGCCTGATGTCAGCCACTGGCACTCTGTTGTTTCACTTCACTAAATCACTTCTGGAGAAACTGCGAGCTACTAGAAATTTTGGGAAGGTGGTATACTCAAAATTGCAGTTTGTCTTATTCATCACCTGGTCCCAATTCTGCTTGTTTTTGCACACTGGTAACTGGAGGGCCTGTGGTAACATGCACAAACCAAGCATGTCCCATCTCTTTTTTTCATTTGTCTTGTTTGAAAATTACAAAAGAACCTAACAAGTGGTTTTGTCTCCTTTGCCTAAAAACTTTAGGAGCCAAAAATGAAAAATCGAAATGCAAACAGACAAGATATCTTGGATGAAGCTCTCAAATCACATTTTATTTGCACATACAAACAGAAGCCACTGTTTTCAGATAAACTACTGAAATGCCATATCCCATTTTGTCAAAGTGGAAAGTTTTTTGTTAAACTTCAAGCGGATGCCAAACAATGCAATGACATATTGGGAATGTACGGTGTGTAAATCAAGAGGAAAAACTGAACAAAGCAAAAAAGTTGTTAATGATTCTTTCAATACATCTGATGATGGTGTTGTGATGACTGGAGTTTCAAAGCGTTCTTCAGAAAAGTCGGCATTACTTGCAAAGCTGAATGATGGGCATTATCGATTGATTTTGTCACCTAATGTTTGGCTTAACTGTGATATTATCCATGAAGTACATGTTTGTCTCAGAAACATTAATCCAGATGTGGAGGGCTTACAGGGACCAACTTTTGATCCTGTTAAAAACTTCAATCAGGTTAATAGGGAATATATTCAGATTTTGCATACTAGTAATGCCCACTGTGTATGTGTAAGCTTAGTAGGGTGTGAAGATTGCACTGTCAACTGTCTGCATCATAACATTATTCTAAATGAAGTACAAGAGCAGGTACTCAATCTTGTTGGATGTTCAAATTTTACTGGCATTCAAGTTGTCAATGTTCAACAACAGCCAAATGGCAGTGACTGTGGAGTATTTACTGCAGCCTTTGCTACATGTCTTGTTTATGGTATACACCCTGAAACACTGCAACTTGATTTCCCCAAAAATGAGAAACCATTTATATCAGTCTTTAAAATCTGGTGTATTGAAAAATGTTTCTTTCATTTTAGACTGCGTAAGGTACATCTTTAGTTAAAAAAATTTTTGAAGAGAAAGAATAGCTGCTTTATTACAGAGAAAATAATATAGTTGCTCAATGCAATGGACCTGCATATTGGAAAGGAATAATCAATTCACACAGTAAGTCTGAAAAAATTTCATGAAATATATGACTAACCTTATAACTTCATTGATCACTGAGCTCTTGATCGACAAACATGGGAATCATTGCTGCTGTTGTGTATGAACAAGACAAAATACTGCTGAAATACCAGGATATAATGCTCATCCTATGCTTAAAGAGTAGCCCCTCTCCAAAACCTTGGATCCAAAACCTTTATGCATTTATTCAAGGAGCAAATAGTACCATCATATATAGTAGACTACATATATTTAATTACTGGTATCTAATGTTTGGCTCTAAGCAGATAAAAATCATTTAGAGGATAATTTTATCTGCTTTGATGATGATGAAAATGACGATGAGCCCTTTATTCAAGTGTCAAACTGTACTAGCGGTGTAGAACCACTAAGTGGGGACACTAAAATAAGTTTGAAAAGATTAAACAAATTAATTAATTAGTTAAAGATGTAAAAAAACAGAATGCTGAGGAAAAAGAAATTAAGAAAAATTCATACAGTGTCTGCAAATAAGAAATTCAGGAGAACTATATACAATATGAACAAATGTATCTGTTACAGGTCAAATTTTATTTTAGGTTAGTTTTGATTTAACCAAAGTTGATTCTCCTTTTCCTTTGTTCGCTAGCCCTAATTTATGAATTATTAGGGCTAGAAGACAAAGACAAAGGGTTAGAAGAGAAAGTGAAATGATTGGATGATACAGTAGAAACAGCTCAAGCCTGAGGTCAAGGCTTTGAATATTGAGGAGAAAGATCCAGAATGCTGAAATTCAAGAAAAAGAATTTATGCATTGTAATGACTCTGAGTGGGTTACTGAATTGATTTTATTCCGATAATTAGGACTTGTGTACACGTTAATTTGGTTACTGACCCGAGCACATGGAACACACTCTAACACACTCCCTAACACACTCTCGACGTGCATGCTCACTCATTTGCATAAATGCATCTCATTACATCCCTCTTCTTCTTAAGGTTAATATTATGGATACAACAACTCAACATGTCGCGCACGAAGGACCAACTAATGCTCCAATGTTCAGTACATAAGGTTCAATGATAAACAATGTTCAATGTCCGAAAATCCATATCTCTCTGGTGGCTTCACCGTGCGTCCACTTCTGGTGACTGTCCCAGGCTCGCTAGGGTTCTGCGTCTCTTTTCCTGCCATCAGTTTTGAGTCTTCCGGCTTTGAAGCTTGATGACTTAACCATTTATTATCGGAGGGTGCTTCCTTGACATGTCTGCGATTACGCCGTAGTTCCTGTCCTGCTGGTGTGGTTACTGTATAAGAACGTGGAACTTTATCTGGCTTTTCTTTTACCATGGCAGGTTTCCAAGTGGAAGATACTGGATCTTGAATTCTGATAGGTTGACCTGGGGCTAGGTCTGGAAGTGACTTACATCCTCTATCATGATAATGACGTTGTCTCTCTTGCCTATATTCAAGCCTTTCGGTGATATCATCATTGTTAGGGCTTGCCTGGATTCTCCTCAGGAGATTATCTTGTAGTGGTCTTCCGAGAAGCAGTTCAGCTGGTGAAGGTAATTTTCCATTGATGGGGGTGCTTCTTAAACACATCAACGCGAGATAGGGATCGCTGTTGGTTGCTTTCGCTTTCTTCAGGGTTTTCTTTGTTGTCTTGACTGGCGACTCAATAAATCCATTGCTGGATGGAAAGTGGGGGGAACTCGTCACATGCTTGAAACCATATTGTTGAGCAAATTCAGTAAAACTGTAACAATTATAGTGAGGACCATTGTCAGACCTTACCACGTGTGGAATTCCATGTTCACTGAATATCTGCTTCATCAGCTCAATAACAGTCTTGCTGGTGCTTTTCCCTGGCAGAATTTTCCTGGCAAATGTGAACTTAGAGTAGTAATCTGTGACAAGCAAATATTCGGACCTGTCAAGGTAGAACAGGTCAGAACTGACTGTATGCCAAAGACGTGGAGGAATTTCTGTTGGCATCAATGGTTCTTTGGCTTGTTTCCTCTGCGGCTCTTGACAGATACTGCATGATTTCGTGACGTTGTCAATGTCTCTGTTTAAGTCTCTCCAATAAAAAGCAGATCTTGCACATAATTTTGTTTTCTCTGTGCCTTGGTGTGAAGCATGGAGTTTCAGGAGGATTACATTCTGCAGTGCTTTAGGGATGATAATCCTGTGTCGTTTCATTATCAATCCGTTGTCTATGGATATTTCATCTCTGAATGCCCAGTATGGCTTAATGAGAGCTGGTACTCCTTTGATGACTGAAGGCCAACCGATGTATGTTTGTCCTTTCAGTGCGCTTAATTCTGGATTGGCCGCTGTAGCCTCCTTGATTCTCTTGATCATGTCGTTGCTGAATTGAGGGCATATTTCATATATCTGGACGTCCATGCCTTTGACTTCGCTGGTTTCCTCTGGTGAAAGTCTGGAAAGAGCATCTGCGATTTCCATAGTTTTTCCTGGCTGATACTTTATCATGAGATCATATGGTTGGAGCCTGAGTAGCATCCATTGAAGTCAGGGTGGAGCTGCTGTCAGGTGCTTCAGGTGTATGCTCTCGAGCAGTTTATGGTCAGAATGAACAGTGAAGTTACGGTCAAACAGGTAAGTGTGAAACCTTTCACATCCGTAAACGACAGCTAGCATCTCTCTCTCTATATTAGCATAACACGTCTCTGTTTTAGTCAAGGCTTTGCTTGCAAAGGCAACAGGCTTGTCATCTTGCAACAAGGCTGCGCCAAGTCCTTGAAGTGATGCATCGACTTGAAGGACAATCGGTTTTGATGAATCAAAGTAGGTTAACATTACTTCGTTGCTTATAGATTCCTTGATTTTGTCTAGGGCTTGTTGGTATGTTGCATTCCAACAGAATGGTGTCTTGTCGGTGATTAGCTCTCGTAGTGGTGCAGTCAGGGTGCTCAAGTTGGGTATGAATGGACTCATGTAATTTGCCATCCCAGGAAGGTCTGGACTTCTTGCTTGTTCGCTGGTGGTGCCATCTGTTTGAGAGCTGACACTTTGCTAGGATCTGGTTGGATGCCATCCTTGGTACAGATTATTCCATAGAATTTGATCTGGTCTTGTTTAATGAAACATTTGTTGGGGTTCAACTTCAGGCCAGTTTCTTTACATCGACTGATCATACCATGCATGTTGGCGTCATGTGATGCTTCCGAATCTCCATAGACCACAATATCATCTGCAATGCCAATGACACCACAACATCCTTCAAAGGTTTGGTCGATGCGGGTTTGAAAAATGTCTTGCGACATTTTCAGTCCACATAGCATTCTCTTGAAACGGTAACACCCATAGGGTGAGTTGAACGTTGTAAGGTAACTCGAATCTTCATCTAAGATAATGTTCCAATAGCCACATTTCGCGTCGACTATTGAGAATACTTTGGCTCCATTTAGCTTGGAAAGAATCTCCTCTAGAGTAGGGGTGATGTGGTGTTCATGCTTAATTGCTTCGTTTAGGTCTTTTGGGTCTAGACAGAGGCGGAGCCTTCCATTTGACTTTCGTTGGTAGACAAGACTATTGACCCAAGCCGTAGGTTCGCCTTCCTGTATCTTTGCTATGATGTCATTCTTTACCATGTTGTCCAATTCATCCTTGATTTCATCTTTCATGCTGATGGGTACTTTGTGTGGGGGATGGACTACTGGAGGTACTGCAGGATCCAAGGTGATATGATACTCACCCTTGAGCTTTCCTATTCCATCAAAGCATTCTGGGTACCGTGCAATGAGATCTTGTTTGCTTCCGATTGGTGCCGATCTGACTGATTGAGTACAAGGTTCAGGTTGTGGAGATTTTTTCACTTCGAGATTGAATTTCACAAGGTTGAGTTGAGTTGCTGTGTGAAGACCGATGATTGTGGGACCGCTGGTGTCTGAGATAGAAGGTTGCTGTTATCTTGATGCCTTTGAACTCACGTGGGATTTTGGCTGTACCGAAGTGCTTGATTTCTGAGCCACCATATGCTACTAGAATGACTTTTGATCGGTTCAGTGTTCTTGGCCTTGGTTTGCTGTTGGCGTTGATATTTTGGGGGTACATGTTGTGATAGATGTGGAGGGGTAGCACGTTTCCTTGGGCTCCCGTGTCGATCTTTGCTTTTAGAGTAGTTTCCTCTTTTCCTCTTCCGGCGATGTCGATGTTGACAGTAGCAAATACTTCATCTTTATGTGCTTTGATTTCTTGATTTATGTTTCCAACGCAGATAGGCTCAAATGCCAAGGTCTCGAAATTTTCTTCAAATGATATAGCAGTGTCTTGAATTTCGTGAATTCTTTGTTTTGATCGCATTCTTTTCCTGCAGACTTGAATAAAATGGCCTTTCTTTTTGCAGTAATTGTAGGTTTGACCTCTGGCTGGACAGGCTTCGGATTTGCTGTGAGAGCAGCCGCAATTTTCACAATTATTAGCTGGATTTTCATCGCGGTGCCAGTGGGCTGCCTGTGTAGATTTCAGGTTGCACTGCTGGGCTGCCTGTGCAGAAGTGCCATGTTTTGTTTGTATATTTCGGCTCTTAGGACGCGAAATAACATCGATTTTTCTCTCGTTTCCAGTGGGATTCATAGCTTATAGCTGAGCTTGTGATGCTTCGCAGGATCGTGCGATGTTGATTGCCCTTTCGAGAGTAAGACCTGCTCCTTCGTTGAACAGCATTTCTCTAGTTTTCATTGATTTAGTGCCGAAGACAATATCTCTTCCTTTCTGACCATTCTAGATTAAAAGATAACTACATTTCTCCGCTTCTGAGCGTGATTTTAGAGGACCCGAAAACATTAATTCAGCGTGTTGTTTGAAATGCCTCCAATTTTCTCGAAGATTGTCGCCAACCCATTGCATTTTTGCTACGTCAACGCTGCTGAGTGCCATATTTCCACTCCTGGTGCCATGTTATTACTCTGAGTGGGTTGCTGAATTGATTTTATTCCGATAATTAGGACTTGTGTACACGATAATGTGGTTACTGACCTGAGCACATGGAACACACTCTGACACACCCCCTAACACACTCTCGACGTGCATGCTCACTCATTTGCATAAATGTATCTCATTACCTGCATGACATGGCTAAAGTTTTGTATTATCTTACTTCATTCTACATTGCTATGCTTTTGTGAAGTATTACTGTAGTGTGAAGCCAATACAATACAATACCATACATAACTTTGTTGGAGTATTATATATAAATTCTGTCTCACTAATGTTTGCAAAGATATAAATGTCTTATAAAAGCTGATGAGTTTATTCAAAGGGAACAACAGATGGGGCAAGATTTGTAAGGGCTGCACAAACCCTGATCATCCCGTCAATGAGTGGAATTTTTCCACTTTTTTCTGAACATGTCAAATAATCTATTGGTAGTATTCCCTGCAGGATAAAATACTTTTACCTCAGGAGTCCAATGACATGCTCTACATGTACTCGCACATTCGCAATTCCTCGTGTTTGTTTCACATCAAGTGGACCAAGTTGATTCCTTCCTCTAGTGAAGGCAGGGATAGCTAACTGTGCCTGGTAGAGTGCAATGTTTTCCTGAATGGCGAACCTTCAATCTGTTATAACAAGGTCCCTTGGCTTCAAGTGGTCCTTCCTCCCCATGCTTTGGAAGTAAAACAAATAGATCCTTGGGGTGTAATTGCGATGAGCACCTTGGTGGTAATGTGCTGTTTATAGTTAGAAAATGTTTGAGCTCTTGCTAGATTAGAAGGTCGCTCTATGAAGACCTCAAAACAGACAATAATGATGGTGGTTTTTTTCCAAACGAGAACGGATTTATCCTTAGATAAATATTCAAATTTAGTTGTTTGAGTTTCAGCATATACTGTTTTCTGGTCATGACTGCTGCATAATTCTTCCCTGGTTTCTGGATCTTTGTCATCGACATTCAAAGCCTCGGCCTCGGGCTCAGCCTTGTACAATATCTCATCAGCTGTTTTCCCTGTATCGTCAACATTCAAAGCCTCGACCTTGGGCTTGGCCTTGTAAAATATCTCATCAGCTGTTTTCCTGTATCCTCCACTTGTTTCACTCTCTCTTCCCCCTCTTTTCTGCAAGTTCTACTTGACGTTTGCATCTGTTGGCAGCTTTCTGTGCAGTTGCCTCTTCAGGATCCTTTACATGCTGTTTTGAATGCCCAAGGTGGAGGGTAGGGACCCAGTCTAGGTTGAATCGATCCCAATCTTTAATCATCAGTTAAGTCATCTCTTCTTATCACAGAGATCCACATTTTTCTTCACTCAGAAGTAAGTTCTTCGGTTTACTCTCCTTGATTGACTATAACACGTGAGACACAAAAAAACCTTATTTCTTCGACATCAGACCACTTCCCTCTTGTGTTCTCACAGCTTCTGACAAGGCAAAGGACCATGTTAAAGACAATATAAATATTACACTGACGTCTTCTCAAAACTGTAAAATCTGCCCCAAATGTTTCCTGTCACGATACTCACTGCTGGTTATCATGAAACACCAACATGGTGGATTAAGTTGGTTACCATGACGATAAAAAAATTCGGTCATGTGAGTGAAAATGTTCTACTGCCCCAAAACATTGAGGAAACCCATGATTATTGTAAAAATTTTTACTAGATCTTCTATCTCTGCAACTGTTGAGGGAGTTTGAGGTATTCACTGCCCAAGTGTACTGTCACAGCTCTGCAGACTTCTCTTATGATTTTGGAAACTACTTGGCATGAAAAACCAAATGCGTTTGCAGTTTTTCTGAGGCGTCCTTTGTCGCTCAAGTAGTAGAGAGTGCACGCTACTTTTTTGGTGACATCAACTGGACATCTCATTCTGGTCGTTTTACCTTCAATATGAGGCCGTACAAGTTTGCTAAGCTTCAAAAGGTTCCTTCTAGACATTCGAAATTTTCTCTCCCTTCTTCAGTGACAAAAACTTCCTTCACAGAGTTGTCCCACCATACACTTGTTCTGCTAGGTGAAGTCCGGAAGCGTCTCTGCTTGTAAGGTTGAGAACATTGCGTTGCTTTCATGGTATCCTTTGACACCAGTGATTGTCTAAAGTCATTTCTGATTCTCTGGTGTACACTACTAAAGGAATACTTAACTGTAAATAAGTGATTAAAGAAGAAATTACTGTCAACAACACAGAAAACATTGTGTTGTCCGCTATGTTGAATTAATGACCAAGGGAGAGTTGAGAAGATAAATCACATAACAAAATGATGTAACTGTACTAAAAAAGTTCCGAATACGAAAAGTTCTTTGTCATAATAATAATAATAATAATAATAATAATTTAACTCATATTGCACGCTTTCCATGAATGATCAAGTGCACATTACATGATTTCTATCTATAGCAATTTAATACAGGGTATCTAACTGATAATTGTTTAAAATATACTATGATAAAATTAAAATATACAATATATGTAAAGATACTAGTAATTATCGTGATTAAAATGAATAAAAAGCTTCCCTAATTTATTACAGGGTATCTAAGTAATAATTATTTAAAATATACTGTGATAAAATTAAAATATACAATAGATGTTAAGATACTAGTAATTTTCGTGATAAAAATTAATAAAAAGCTTCTTTAGAAAAGGTGCGTTTTCAAATGGCACTTAAAAATCCCTAGATCTGTAATAGAATGAATCTCACATGGTAATACATTCCAGAGTGCCGGAGCTGCAACCTGGAATGATCTGTCTCCCAATGTAACCCTACTTCTATAAGTTTGCGTTGCAAGCAACCATTTGAGGAGGATCTTAAATTATAATTTCCCAATCTTTTAATTGACACAAGTTCTCTTAAATATGTTGGCACGAATCCATGGATGGCCTTAAAAACAAATAGTAGAATCTTAAAACTAATGTGTTGCCTAACCGGTAGCCAATGCAGCTCATACAGCAATGGCATTATGTGACCGTAGCGTGGCGCTCAAGAAACTAGTCTTACTGCGGCATTTAAAATGCGCCAAACCTTATTCAGGTGAGAAGCTGGCAAGCCATATAAAAGACTATTACAATAATCTACGTGCGAGGTAACATTCGCATGTACGAGGGCTTTAGTGGTATCTGTACTTAAAAACTTACAGATCTGACTTATATTATGCAAATGATAGAATGCCGAGGCGCATTACTTACTTATATGAGATGACATTTCTAGATTATGATCAAACCATGACCCAAGATTTCGCACAACTGATTTCACCTTTACGACTGTGTCACCGACAGTAATATCATTCAAGTTGACTTTCTGTAACTGTTGCCTAGTACCTATAAGCATCAGTTCAGTCTCATCATCATTTAACATTAGTCAGTCTTCAAGCATCCAGTTCCTCAAGTCATGTATGCAGTCACACATAGCATTTAGCGCGGCCTCATCCTCCCCTTGCACATCAGGACTGAATGCCAAATACAGCTGTGTGTTTTCTGCATAGCAGTGTACACTTGGGAGGAGCGTGCTAACAATTTCAAACAGCTTACTGGTGTAGACTGTAAACAGAACAGGCCCAAGACAACTCCCTTGAGGAACTCCTTGTCTGAGTGGAAAAGCAGATGATAGGCCGTCATTTACAGTGACACACTGCGTATAATCCACAAGGTATGACGCAAATCATTGTAGTGCCTTGCCATCCACACCAAATCTCGACTTTAAACAGTTTAGAAGAGTGTCATGTTGAACAGTGTCAAAAGCAGCGCTAAGGTCAAGGAGAACTAACAAAGTGATCTTTTGCGCCTCCATATTCAACAAAATATCATTTTTTACTTTGAGCAGTGCGGACTCGGTGCTATGGTTTTGCTTATACGCGGACTGGAATGGCATATGCAAATCATCAGTTGTCATGTGGTCAATGAGCTGATTAGCTGCTGCCTTCTCTGACAGTTTAGAAACATAAGGGAGTTTACTTACTAGATGGAAGTTATTAAAAGCAATGTCAAGTCCACACTTTTTAAGCAGCAGATTTAGTAAAGCCTCCTTCCAATCGTTAGCAAACACGCCAGATTCTAATGACAAGTTAATCATGTTCGTGATCACAGGTAACAGCTCATCCAAAACGTCTAAAACTACCAAAGTAGGCATTGGATCCAGCGGACACGATTTCTTGGCAGCTTTCTTGATGAGCTCATAGACTTGCTCTTGAGATAACCTTTTAAAATTGGCAAATGTGACACAAGCATACGTATTAGAATCAGTGCACCCCTTTTCTCTGGCTTTTGACATCTCTGAAAAGCTCTTCATATCAATTAACTGATTAATCTTATCGATCTTTTGCATAAAGAAATTTCCAAAATCATTCGCGAGATCATCTGGAGCTATATCCTTTGGAAACAACACCTCAGATGGTTCACACAGCAGCGACTTGGTGGTGCAAAACAAGTTCTGGTGATTTGAACTGTTCTCAGCTATGAGATTAGTATGATACTCACAGCGTGCGCCATTTATAACAAACGTTGTGTGATTTCATGCGCCTTTGAAAGCGCAAAAGTCCTGGTGGGATTTTGTCCTTTGCCATTTCCTTTCCGCCTTCTGCCTTGTCCTTATAGCACACTTAATCTCACTGTTAAACCATGGCAAGCGCTGTCTACAGACAACCACTTTCTCCTTCATCAGCACATGCTTGTCCAGAAGAGATGTTAGTGTCGAATTGTAATTGGATGTTAGCTCATTAAGGTCACTGTATTCCCTTGTGCAAAGTTCAGATTTTTCCACATCCTGGCATAAAGCATCAAAATCAGTTGCCCTGAGTTGACGATACCGAATAATCTTTGTAACACAATCAGGCTTTGCGCTGAGAACACAAAACAGATGCATGGTCTGAGAGATATCAGTCGGCCACAGGAACGCAATAGATGACTAGATCATGCTCACGCATTATTATCAAATCAGATATGAGATTCTGGGGAATAAATCTCAAGTTTTGCTGCAGTATCCTTTTCTGTTAACCAGGTTTCAGTGAGCACAAATATATCCATATCAGTGGAGCTGGTGTTTTCCAGTAAACAAGCAGTTTTGGACTTCACAGCCCGCACATTAGTATGGAAAAGAGTTAGCATTGGTGAACAGTCCTTTTGTGTTGGCAACAATGGACTACGTTCAACAACAATGCAGTTGGTAGTTTGGCGAGAGGTGTCAGAGTGAATATTTAATTCACTGACTTCAGAATGCAAATTACCGGTCACTTTGTTCACATTTTGCTCCAAAAACCCAGAATAACCCATTTTGACTGATGGTTGCCCCGAACTTGAATTTGATACAAGTGTAGTTATAGCTCTCCTATTCAAACGCCCCGCCCGACTTCCTCGGCAAGTTGGTTTCACCTGGGTAATGCCAGCCTGAATCAGGCTTGTCCAAACTGCCAGGGCTCAATGGTTGCAAGATGGACATGGTCGAAAGGATAGAAAATAAAGTCGCCCTTCTGTAATTTAGCGCCATGTTAAGACGATGACACTTAAGAAAAGCTTTCTGGTGGAGTTTTGGACAATAAGCACCCGTAGGAAGCTGAACCCAGCCAAAAAACTAGAGAGACGAAAATGCGTGTGCTTCCACGGGGCGCTCAACGCTCAAATCTGTAGTGTAGGGGGAAACGCGAGACGTAGTTGAATGCTTTCTTTGCTTTTTGGCGCTTGGCATGCTTACAAACCTCTCATTTGCTTTTCCTGTGGCTACTTGGTGTGTCGGTGTGTATTCATCAGTAACTTGTCCACATTAATACAGAAGAGTTGCGTTTTCAAACTGTTCCACACTAGAGAGCGCATTCAAGATGTTCTGTTTTTGCAGATCTTTTTATGTAGATTTGTGTGTTGTAGTGTGGATGGAAGGCCTAACCATTACA